AATCAATGATTTTTTCAGTGGCTGGGTGACCTTGTGTCTGACACATTCATATGCAAATGACTAATCTGTGAAACAAACAGGGGCGGAGACAAACCACTGGAATGTTTGGAAACACTCATTGTGTGTCAGATAGCTACTGATAACACATCCTAACATTGCTTTGTCTTGAGTTTATCTTTGAAACTTATAGGCACACAGATTAAACCTGTATTGTTGATTTTGGAAAACACTACTGAGGCTGCCTTGCTTCCCTTCAGAAAATATACATTTTAACCAACTTACATGACATTCTATGTTATGTTGACTTTATCATATGAAAGTTTATAGTGCATTTCATCAATTAATAAATAAATGTGAAAATCGTAATTTTCAACACAAATAATAGTCTCGCTACCTTAATAAGACTGTGAATAATTCAGTATTTAATTTTTTTCTATATTTAAATTTAACAAGATGTAGAATTTTACTATTAATTTATTTGGTGATATATTTGTAATATAACTGGGATATTGATGTATAATTTGTTTTAAAAATATGCTACAGTTGGTGATTCAACGATAAGTGGTTATACATATAACTGTATACCCATATAAAACGAATGATACAACTACCACTACTTTCTTTTATTTACGTAAATCATTGCGTCACGTCGTGTTTGTTAGTGATCCCATGTGACGTGTTTACATGGTATTCGAACAAAGTGCTTCAATGTAATACCAACACATATATTTATATTATAATTAGTTATTGTGTTACTACAACCAACTAAATATACTGACTCACAGTAGAGGATGGTTTGACCATTGCAATTGAAAGCAATGACCTACTTACCGGATTGAAACTGTTCCTATTTTTCAAGGTGGCATTATATCGGTCGCTATTGCGGTGTCGGTATGTATCCGGGGATGTATTAATCAATTATCGAATAGCTAGATTGTGTTGGCACACTTTACTACATGGAAAAGTGGGGTACACTTTCCTCCCCCGAAATACAAACAAAAAGGTTTGGAAATAGGATGTCTTGGGCAAACTTGTGCAACATACTAAAGAAATAGTTCGAACACTTCGGTGTATTAAATGAACACATGGAAACAGCTATGTACACGATGTACACTTTTTTCAACACCTTCTTTGGTGTTTTGATGTTATGATCACATTGCAATTTTTGGCTACTTGTTTTCTTATTCCGATTGGAATAAATAGTCGGGTCAAATTACACTTGTATCCCTTGTATGACTGTCTAATGGTTCAAATATTAAGACATTCCTAAACTTTATTTATAACGGCATCTTTTTCATTGAGTAAATCAACTCAGTTTTACAGGCACAAAAAAGGTGAATTGATATTTGGGCCTTGGAATTAAACATTTTTTACGTCCGTTGAAAAAAATCAACTCGGCTATCATTCAGATGAATAAGTGCTCAGTTTTCTGAAAACAATTTACTCACAGAGAGTCAGGAAAATACGGGTAATGTAGTAGAATGGACATACTAGCTATATAAAACATGGTCACATGACATCGGGCTATGTATTTGATTGGTTATTGTCAATCAACAACCTGCAACATGTTGCATGAAATAGAACATGTCCCTATTTCGTTCAACTTATTGACAACAACTCTGGAACATTGCTTCAAGTTGACACACGTAATGACGTATTTCACAACAAAAGATAAACACAGATCGGAATGATAAAGAAGTACAAGCAACATAATACTAATTGGCATAGATAGAATTCACGTGAATTTGACAAATTAACTCGCACTAAGCGCTCAGTTATAACTGTTTGCCGTTGAAATACGTGAACATGTAACAATAAATTTAGAACATACTAAACTAGTGATTAAAGTTTCAACGATTATAAAGTTTCAACATTTCGTAGCGCGACGATCATCGCCCTTTAAGTTTAATTTGAAATGCATACCCACACATTTCCCTTTTTGGATTTGTGTCTCACTGAAATAGACAGTTATTGATTTTTATTGTTGAAAATGATTACTCGTATCCGAGTAAATTTGAGATATTTCTCGTGTTGTAGCCACGCCTTTCCTGAAACAGTCGGCTGTTTCCGGCTTTCTGACATTACTGAGCCGAAGTAAAAGTGCCAAAATACTATTAACGATACATATTTTTCGGTCTCCGCTATTTTTGAAACGTATTTTCGGCG